CACTCCATGAGCTCTTGTAAAGTCCCAGGCTATTTGCTTTCCTTGTTTTCATTTTGTGTAGGATGAGGTGAAAGACTTTGATTTGTTGACTTGCAGGAACCCATTACAGGACAATGATTTCCATTCTGTGTTCATGGCATTTCACACAAGTAAGATATGAAGACGATCACAGATTACCTTCCAGCTATAGGTGGTCCTTGTATATGACCATATGTTTAGCATCCATTTGAAATTACAGTGGCACTGGAAAAAGTGACTTATGAAGGTTCCTCGCGCTTATGACTTTTGCAGCATCCCCATGATAAGTTGATTAAAACACTTGGGCACTTAGCAATAGGAATGTATGTATGACAGTTGCAGCATTCCAGGTTTGTGTGACTAAAGCCATTTAGGATTTTCCTAGCAAAGTCCGACAAGCGAACTCAGTGAGAGAAGCTGGATTCACTTAACAACCAAATAATTCACTGAATAACTGTAGTTAACAACTGGCAAAAAATGCTGTAAAATCAAGTGTAACTCACCCAACAACCGCCTTGCTTAACAACAGAAATTCCGATCCCAATTGTGGTTATAACTCAAAGACTACCTATATTTCTGAAGATTGTAGAGATTGAAAATGGTGGCAGGGTAAATCGCCCATAGGCACTTCTAGCCTTGAAATCTGTATTTCTCCTCTAGTTTTGCAACTTTTAAAATCTGGACATCCTCTTTGCTCTTAGATAAATCAGGAGTTAATTTTATCTCTTAGATCAGGGGTATCCAACCTTAGCAAGTTTAAGACTTGTGGACTTGAACACCACAACATGCTGGCTGGGGAATTCCGGGAGTTGAAGTCACAAGTCTTAAATTTGCCAAGGTTGGACATCCCTGGTCTAGACATTGTTTCTCGTTATTTCCTAGCACTATTGAGGAAGGAATGGTTAAATCCAGGGATGGGCTTCAAAAATTTTAGCAAGGGGTTCTCTGCCCGGTTGCTGGGTGGGCGTGGCCATGGTGGGTGTGGCCTAGTCAGCCTCCTGCACCATGGCAGGGGGGTGTTTTTGCCCTCCCCAGGCTCCGGAGGCTTTCCTCGAGCCTCTGGGAAGGCAAAAATGGCCTCCCCAGGCTCCAGAGGCCCTCTGAAGACCAGAAACAGGCCTGTTTCCGGCCTTCCCAAACTTCCAATAGGGCTGTTTTTCACCCTCCCCAAGCCTCCGCGTGTGCCCTGCACTTACCTGCATCCAAAACGGGTGGCATGGGAACTCCTGGGAGGGGCGGGATGGGTGGGACGGGGCAAGCCAGGAGTGGGATTAATTCTTACTCTCCAGAAAGGACACTGTTAATTCCAAATCTTGATTCCATATGTGTTGTGGTTTGGGCTGCCAGCATTTTTAGAAACATACCAGTGCTTGGTAGGAGCCATGTATAAATTACCAGAATTGATGACAACAATTGCAAATGATCAAATAAGGATTACAGAGTACTTGGGAGCTATTACACAAACTATTGAGCAGAACACAACAATGTAGCCTCTTCTAAACTTATTTTAGCTTCTTTTAGCTCTATTTTTATTTGAGACGTGTATTTGTCTTGCTTAAATTTCCAGCGAAAAGCTGGGAGATTAGTGGATAAGATTATGCTGAAACACTATTCACATAATTATCCATATCTATTTTGGAATTTGAACTACTTTATGTTTGCTTTTTTTCGGGAACTGTTAATTATAATCAGTGATGTTCTTTTTCTTTCCTCTAACTCTAATTCATTTTTGGAAAACGTGTCCAAGTTTTTGTGGACTTCCGTGGAGATCTTTGCACTGCATCTTTTGAGATGTAAAAGAGACTCTAAAGAGCAAGATATTTACTTGGGTGAATTCCATGAGCCTTAGTACAAAGTATTGTGGATGTGTTATCTTCCCTGCTGAAAGCTCAGTTGTATAGCTTGGGGAGTGGGGGGGGGCTGTCTTAGATTTCATAGACCTCCTAGAAGGCCAAGAGATGCTATTGTCCAGAAGTGCCTTTATTCAAGCTGCACCTGGTGAATTGGATGCTATTAACGTTTGAGGAAAAAAAACATCTGGCTACATTGATTTGTCCTTAATCATTTTTCATCCTAATTACAGGAACTCACACACAACTCTATACAGAGTATTTTGATAAATGTACTGAAACTCCAGTTCTAGTCAAATGTGGCAGCTGTATTTCATCAATTGCTTGGTAGATACATTATCCTGGTTATGATAATTACTTCTCATTTGTCTCTGAACCTATCTCAAGTTACTGGCTTTGTAAACCAAAGTCCTAAAAGATATCAGAATAACAGAGTTGGAAGGAACTTTTCACTCTCTGGAGAAACCAATTTGGTAAAGGTTATAGACAGGGCCTTTTCAGTGGCAGCCCCTCCAGATGGAAATTGCTCCCAAGGCTGATGGTGTTATCATTCATTCTGCCAACTGTTTGGTGGCAGCAGAAACACGTATCTCCTAAATTTCCTAAGTAGTGAAACTAATGTTTGAAGTGAAAGTGGCACAGTGGGGCCTAAGCTGTGGATATTGTTTTTCCAATCCTTAAATTCTTTATTTTTCTTTGAACTGTGCTATATTTCTGATCATTTCACTTGCTCCTTCCAATGCTTTTTTCCTCACTCTGTGACATCCTTGGAACTTCAAAAGAAAAGTGGAAAGTTTTGCTGGGTGAGTCAAGTCAATCAATCTCTTCCTCCCTCCCACCCCGCCCAACTTTTATTTGGCATTGGGATCAGTCCTTTGGGCCGAGTTTCCAGTGATAATATAGGGTGGAGACCTATATAATATAGGGTGATTTGCATAATCCACTCATTAATATTTGCTGTGATGGGTGGGAATCACAAATTAACAGAGTTGATAAGGATATTGGAGGTCTTCCAGTATAACCGCTGCTCAAGCAGGAGATCCTATACCATTTCGGGACAAATGGCTGCCGACTGCCAACAGTTCGATTCTGACCGGTTTAAGTTTGACTCAGCCTTCCATCCTTCTGAGGTCGGTAAAACGAAGACCCCCATTGTTGGGAGCAATATGCTGACAATTAGAGAGAGCTGTAAAGCACTGTGAAGCGGTATATAAATCTAAGTGCTATTGCTATTTCTATCTTCCTCACTGAACACCAGAACACCAGAAAATTACTTCCTGTAAATAGAACATGGTAGTTGGAAATGGATTTCAGCAGACTAAATTTTGGGCCTCTTGGCTAGACCTCCAGAGTAGTGGTGGGTTTCAAAAATTTTTACTACCGGTTCTGTGGGTATGGCTTGGTAGGCATGGCAGGGGAAAGATACTGTAAAATCTCCATTCCCACCCCACTCCAGGGGAAGGATACTGTAAAATCTCCATTCCCTCCCCAATCCAGGGGAAGGTTACTGCAAAATCCCCATTTCAGCTGGGACTTGGGAGGCAGAGAATAGATGGGGGCAGGGCCAGTCAGAATTTTTACTACCGGTTCTCTGAACTACTCAAAATTTCCGCTGCCAGTTCTCCAGAACTGGTCAGAACCTGCTGAAACCCACCTCTGCTCCAGAGATAAAATACTATTAAAAAAGGAGAGATTGATAACAGGTTTGCAAGCGGTGCTGTTTATGTCATTTTTTTCACTTTCCACTTGATAGTCTTTCAGCAAGAGTTGATTTACATGTGAGGCTTACTAAAAATACAAATTAAATGTAACACTCAAATCTTGTTATTATTCAATTTCATTTCGTTTCGTTTCATTTCACTTACCACTTCCATCCAAAATAGATGTTGGAGAGTTCATGGATAATTAGTATTGCAAAACCATGCTAATAAATAATACCGCATAATACAGTACCTTCTACCATATGTGGTGGACGTGTCCTGAAGCAACGAAATATTGGAGAATAATACAAAAATGGATCCAAGAAGTAATAGAGGAAAATATCAATTTGGCGCCAGAGATCTACCTCCTGGGAGTATTAAAAAGGGTATATAGGAAGGAAAAGAAATATTTAATCATACACATCATCACAGCCACTAGATTAACATATGCAAAACACTGGAAAGAGAAATGATGCCCAACGGAAGAACAGATAATCAGTAAAATACTAGAATGCGCAGAAATGTGCAGATTAACACATGTGCTAAATGAGAAGGAGGACTCGGAATTCTACACGGTATGGGAAATGTGGTATAGATGATTGGAAATTAAATGTAAATGTTAACATGAATTAAGAAGGGAAGTATCAAACTGTGTATGTAACCTATATATCTTAAGCAATAACATGCATTATAGTGTATATTATAATAGTTTATAAGTATTTCATATCTTAATTTTAAAATATTTATGTAATCTACTAGATACCACTTATATAAATATATAGCATGACTACACGTAGCCAAACCAAAAACGTTGAATTGTACCATTACGTTATTCAATAAAAAAATAAAAATAAATACAGCATTTTACATTTTTTTTAAAAAAAATCCTTCCTTTATTATTTTTATAAATAACTCAACGTGGCAAGCATACCTAACACTTCTTCTTCCTCCTATCTTCTCCACAACAGCCCTGTGAGGTGAGTTGGGCTGAGGCTGCTAAACAATTAAATCTTAAGCAAGTAATACAGTCACATGTTCATATGATTAGCAGCATTAGCTCAAAAGGAAAAATAAAAAGAATATGAAAGACAATAAAACTTTGCTTTGTTTTTTGACAACACATGTTTGTAATATGCATGACAGAAGAGACTGGATCCTCTTGGCACTCTGGAACTATTATTATTAAATTGTGACAGTTTAAAAGTTATTCCTAGTGCTATTTCAGTTCTCTAACAGACAAGCCTTAAAAATCTTCATGATAGTAAAATGGACATCACAGTGACTTTTTATGCAATCGCAGAGGAAAAGTGATACCTTGTAAACCTCCCTCGTGTTAACAAATGCTGTCGCTTCTTTTTATGAACTGAAACGCTATTTCCTGAGAGTTCTCTAGCCCTGTATCCTAAAAAAAAAGTCTAATTTTTCTTTCAAGCCTTTGCATCTGGAAAGAAAATATGGGATGTCCCCAGAGCACACATCAGCCAGGTCAACTCAGCAAAAGTAAGGTGGGAGCCTCAGTGCCAGTACCAATTGCGCCACCTTCAGGATGGTGTCAGAATTTCAGCTGTTCTACCGGCCCGGTTAGAAGGTCATTGGATCTCAACAGGGTATGTATGCGTATATAGAACCTTGTCTCAAAATGCAGAGGTGCAGGATAACATGACCACTTACGTCTGTGTAACACATTCAATGCATTTGATTGTCAAGGTGGGCTTTTGTTAAAATGTGGAAAGTATTTCTTATTAACAGGTGTGGGTATGGGTGAGGTGGGAGTGAATATGTTCCTCTCTTTGCAGTAGCGTCTTTTATGGCACTTTAAAAATCAATATATAGTTGTAGTAATCAGACACTGTAGCAATCAGTGTCTTTAAAGTCCTCCAGTTAGGAAGGTAAGAAATATATACATATAAAAAACTGCAAATTGCTTTTTTTACATTACCTAGGATTCCAAGTTTTAAAAAGTATCAGCTCAGATATATCTGCAGATTGTTGAATTACAAAAAAGTTCTAAAGTTCTAAAAGTTTCTTGGACACCTCTTGGATTCGTTTCCAGATACCTTTGTGTGGACCTTCCTGTCTTAGCGCAGAATTGTTAATGCTTCTTATGAAAACTAGACACAGAAGAATTTCCCTAAGCGCACAGCCCCAGTTTATAGTACTATACTATAGTACAGGGGTCTGCAACCTTAAACACTCAAAGAGCAATTTGGACCCATTTCCCACAGAAAAGAAAACACTGGGAGCCACAAAACCGTTCCTGTGCCTGACTATTTCTTGAGCAGCCACAAAACTAGCATACTTGAATGAAACGTTCTGTTTTCTTCTGAAACTTTTCTTTTCTTGGATTTATCCATGGTTGGCCTACCAGAGGTTGAAAAGCTCAATAAATCGTGTGCTGGCAGGTGTCGCACATTGGCAGTTGCGACACATATTTTGAGTGACAGGGAGCTGCAGCAGAGGGGTGAAAGAGCCATATGTAGCTCCAGAGCCGCAGGTTGCTGACCCCTGCTATAGTACTATAGTGCTATTGATAATGTAGGGTTCTCCAAATTTGAGTCCTCAAGATGCAATGGCTTGCAAATGTCTCAGATTGCCCAGTCTGGTCTGACATCATCACCTTTATAAAGCAGGAAATCAGAGCTCGCAGAACTACCCTTCCCATTTTTAAAATGGTAAAATGGAACATATTTATCTCATCTTTCAATCCAGAAGGCCACCTATATTTTCCTTAAGCCAACCCTGCAGACTTGGCAGATCAGACTTTTTATAAGAAAAATGGGACAATGCCAGACTTTTGATAGCTCTGGAATTCCCGCAGTGATGAATTTCTCGTTCCAAATAGTGACTTGATCTTGTTCTATAAATTATTCCTTTGTTTTATTTCTGTCAGGACAGGAGATTTGGAGACTATTGGGTGCATGGCATGCCCTGACGAAACAGTACCACAGAATTGAATAATTCACAAAATGGTTGCCTTGGTAACTGTGGCCATTCACAAAATGCCCATTTACCAGAAGGCAAATGAGCTATCGAGGATATTTTTTCCCTTTGCAGTGGACCTTTGTGAGATGAAAAAGTGTTCTTATAAATAAATATGCTGGCAGAGGTTGATGCTTTGCATATGCCTCTTTCTGTTAATATTTGAAATTAAAATAACTTTTAAAAAAGAAATCAGATGCAACTCTGGGAACCCATCGGCCCTGACATGCTGTTCCTGGAAATGAAGCGATTTTGCTATGTTCTACTCAACTGTCTAAATTTATCCTCTTAACAATTTTGTCCAGCGGCTTAGCTACTGTACCATCTTTGATATCTTTAGGTATCTTTAGATATTTTTGATATCTAACTGGTTTACTGATACAGTGTTGGTACAGACTTGCTTTTGGAAACTAACAAAATAATAGAGTTGGAAGGGACATTGGAGGTCTTCTAATCCAACCCCCTGCTCAATCAGGAAACCATGTACAATATTAGACAAATGGTTGTCCAGTCTCTTCTTAAAAATTTCCTGTGTTGGCGCACCCGCTATTTCTAGAGGTAAGTCATTCTACTGATTAATTGTTCTGTCAGGAAATTTCTCCTTAGTTCTAGGCTGCTTCTCTCCTTAATTAGTTTCCATCCATTGATTCTTGTCCTGTCTTGGAAAACAGGTTGAGCCCCTCTTCATTGTGGCAGCCCCTAACAGGAATTTCCTCCCCTTGTCTTCAGGTGTGAAGTACGCCCAGGACCTGAATTCCTTACTCGGTCATACATGTTCTTTGCCAACCGCCTCTTCAAAGCTTATCAGTTTTACTACCGTGACCCTTCCTGTAGAGATCCCACCTACTCTCTGGTCATCAAAGGGAAAATCAGGCTCCGGCAGGCATCCTGGATCACCCTAGGGGCTACAGAAGCAGATTATCACCTTCATAAAGTTGGCATTGTCTTCTACAGCCAGAGAGCCATGCTGGAAACGGTTGCCCGTCTCAACCAAACAGGAGTTCGCTGCAGTGGATTTTTGCCAGCTGGACGGACTTGGGTTCCCGGTGCCCTCTATGAGCTTCTGAGTGCTAAAGGGGAAGAGGACTGCACCCATGGCCTTGGCTTTGCCATGCATGAGCTTAGCCTGGTACGAGTGGAAAAGTATCACCAGCCCTTGCTCCTCCAGCACAACCAGGGGAGCAGGCAGGTTGAGGAGCTGTATCTTGGAGACATTCACACTGAATGGTCAGAGCGGCTTCAATATCGGCCTACAGGATATCAGCGCCCACTGCAGAATGCCATGGTAAGACCTATGCTTTCAGGGAATGTCCGTTAGTGTTCATTAACTTGGCTTTTTATTGTTGGGTCCCACCAAAAGTCCATAGAAAGAATAACAGAAGAACAGAGTTGGGAGGGACCTTGGAGGTCTTCTATTCCAACCCCCCACTCAAGCAGCAAACTCTAAACCAGGCCTGTCAAACTGGCGGCCCGTGGGCCAGATACGTGACATGCAGACCAGGGTGATTTGCCCCCATTTCGGACCGGTTCTATAAAACCAGTAGTAAAACTGGCGGGAGGCTCCGCCCACTGACCCGGACGTCATCATAAGTGATCTGTGCATGCACAAAAGAGTGCGCGGGCGGGCGGGCACAATGTGAACCGGTAGTAAAGGTAAGTAGAACTCACCCCTGATGCAGACCATGCCTACCCTGGCTCCACGTCACGGTCCGGCAAGTCACGTGATTGAGTTTGACACCCATGCTCTAAACCATTTCAGACAAATGTAGTGTTGGAGCACCCACAACTTCTGGAGGCAAATCGTTCCATTGCTTAATTGTTCTGTCAGGAAATTTCTCCTTAGTTCTAGGTTGGTTGTTTCCGTGATTGATTTCCATCCATTACTTCGTGTCCTGCCTTCTGGTGCTTTGGAGAATAGATTGACCCCCCCCCCTTCTTCTAGAATGAGGCTAGGATAGAAGGAGTAGCAAGGAAAATGTAGTGCACCATTATTCCTTATGAAAATGTCATTACTAGAGGAAATAAGCCTGAATGTAATTAACAGCAGGCTTGAAAACCCAACTCTTAATGCAGCTGAAATGTGATTCCTGTTTTTTTTCTTTGCTTTGTTTTTGCTCAGAAGCTTGGTTTCCTTCCCAGAAATGTGTATTTTTATCAAAATCATAACTAATCAATTTAGAAAGATGATTGATCTTTAAGATAAGTACATTGCACTTCAGCAGAAAAACCCTTTTGAGCATTACCAGATGGGAACAGAAGGAAAGTGTAGGGAAAGAAGGAAGAAAAACGGATTTTCCACCTATTTAATATTGCAACAACTGGGGTGATAGAATAACATACCAACAAACTACCCTCCTAAACACATGTTCAGACTGGCATTAAAGTAGAGTTATCCTGGGCCAAAACCATGGAGGCATGAGTTAAACCAGATGGTAAACAGGAATGCTTTGTAAATTAATTTAGAACCAGTCTGAGGTGTGGTGAGATGCAGGGACTTTGTTGCAGCCCCTTAGATAATCAGCTAACAGTTCTACATTTCATATTTTCCATCCACGATATCACTGCTTGAAGAGGGTTAAATGCGGTCTATTTAAATCCAAAGAGCTTTGTTTAATTGAAAGTGAGAATTTTTTGACTGCAAGCAAGGCTTTACAAGTTTCATCTGTGCTGAAGTGATATCCTAAGGCCGTGATGGCAAACCTATGGTAAGCGTGCCAGAGGTGGCACGCAGTATCCTCTCTGATGGCACGCGAGCTGTCACCCCACTTCAGCTTTGCTGCACATGCACGTGTGTCTCCCGCCAGCCAGCTGGTCTTTGGGCCTCTGCCGCGCATGCGCAGGGGGTGGGGCACATGCGGGGGGCTGCATGTGCATGTGCAGGGGACACGGCTCACATGGGGGCTTATGCATGTGTGGGGGCTGGGTGCACATGCCAGGGGTGGGGCACATGCGGGGGCGTGTGCGCTTATGTGGGGGGATGGGGCGCATGCAGGGGGTCGCATGTGGATTGCATTTTGGATGTTTGCATGCGCTTTGGGCACTCAGTCCAGAAAAGGTTAGCCAACACTGTCCTAAGGTATCCCTAACCTTAGGATAGCAAAACTCCAGCCACGGCTTGGAAATTCTCTAAACCAGTGTTTCTTGTTTTGCTCTGTGAACTCTTTCCCAAAAGACCCCAAAAGAGCTTTTGTTTGTGTGGGTGATATTTATCGATATTTTCCAGATTAAAAATTAAAATGCACTAATTTTTAGAATACTTATCTATTGAATCTTGTAAAAGAATATAAATATTAAACATTAGATATTAATATAAAGAAAACATTTGTCATGAAAAAGCCCTGTAATTTTTCAACAAAGAAAAAATAATATGAGTATATGGTTTTAAATATTTGCAAATATCTTCAATACCTGGCAAATCATTTATATTTTGTGGATCCCCAGAGGATCCTTGAAACCATTCCTTCTGAAGCTACATGCATAGGCAAATCAAGGAGAGAACTTGAGGCAGGTTCTGGAGAAGGCCCAAAGCACAGAAAGGAACTGATGAAAAAAAAAGGAGGCAGATCTGTTCTAAAAGAGAGTATCTATGGTATATGCTCTTTTGTTCTAAGTAGAGTTTCCTTTTTTCCTGTTACAGATATATAGTTGAGCAGTAAAGCACATGGTGACTGTACTCTTGTTTGCTCTGTGTGGTGCTTTATATAAACAGAATTTCTTTCTTTTTTTTTTTATTTAAAAAGTTTTACAAATACATTTTCTCCCCAGTTGCCCCCCCAAACCCCCAATACCCTCCCTATCCCTCCCCTTTTCCCCCCAGGACTTCCACAAAATAAAATCCTAATCGAAAAATACATTTTATAAAACTTAAACCCCTCCACCCCCCATATACTATTTATACCTTCATAAAACTCAATTAATCTGTATAAACAGAATTTCTAACAGGTTTATACTTCTTGTGCAAAAGATCTCAGCTTCTCTTCCAGGCACCTGTAGTTTTCAGTAGCATTAGACAGCAGCCCTGGGAAACACATAATTTTAGGAAAACTTGCCTAGTCTTAGGTGCTGTAAGACTTTTGAGAACCTTGAACAAAACAAATGCTGAACAAAACAAATACAGGTAGTCCTCGACTTACAAAGGTTCATTTAGTGACTGTTCAAAGTCACAAAGACAAAAGGGACTTATGACCATTTTTCACACTTATGTCCGTTGTAGTATCCTCATGGTCACAGGATCAAAATTGGGACACTAGACAACTGGCATGTATTTAAGATGATTGCAATGTCCTGGGGTCATGTGACCCAGGGGTGGGTTCTAAAATTTTTTACTACCGGTTCTGTGGGTGTGGCTTGATGGTCATGTGACAATTATTTAGGATTTAGCAGACGTACTGGTCTACCAGGATTTTAACTGCTTGCAGAGCTGTACCGATCTACCCATTTATTTTTGCAGACACTGGTCTACCCATTTATTTTTGCAGGCACCGATCTACCCATTTATTTTTGCAGGCACCTGTCTACTCATTTTCCACCTCGCTGCTCAGACACTCCTCAACATGGGTATAGCTCACTCCTATTTGCATGGCTGAGTGTCAATCATATCCCTCTGGAGCTGGACCCGCCCTTCTTCCTGCTCCTACGTCAGTCTTTTCACTCAGCCATTTGTCAGAGTGCTTGAGTGTCTTTTTCTTAGCTTCAAAATCTATTCTATATTGTTTAATTTCACCAAAATTTATTTTGAGGTTTCTATTTTAACACTGATCAGCTGTAGGGCGGCCTTTTGAAGCCCCGCGGCAAGAGTTTAAACAGTTTTTTTCCCTCTAGCCGATCAGCTGGGACTCAGGAGGCAGCAATAGATTGGGGGTGGGGCCAAATAACAGGTAAGAACAACGCGGGGGGGTGGGTGGGGGCAGAACCGGTTCGGTGACATCATATCGTCACTGCTACAGGCTCGGCGGAACCGGCCCGAACCGGGAGGAACCCACCACTGATGTGACTCTCTTTTGTGACCTTCTGACATGCAAAGTCAAAGGGGAAGCCAGATTCACTTAACCGCCGTGTTACTTAACTTAAGCACTGCAGTGATTCCCTTAGAGAAAGGTCATAAAATTGGGCAAAACTCACTTAACAACTGTCTCACTTGGCAACATAAATTTTGGACTCAGTTCTGGTAATAAGGACAACCTGTATTCCAAGCACACAGATGCATAGGCTGGATTCCCCATCCCCCCCCCCGGTTGCTAAGCTATCTTGTATTTCATGTAAATGTATTTTAGGATGTTGTGTGCACTTGGCCATTTAGGGTTAGGATTATTTACTTGTTTTTATTTATATCCCACATTTATTATTTTTATAAAGTCAAGAGGGTGACCATATCCAATAACCTTTCTCCTATTTCCCCCACAACAGCCTATGAAGTGAGTTGGGAGTGACTGGCCCAAGATCACCCAGCTGGCTTAGTGGTTTAATATAAAGCATGAATCTAGTGATGGTCTTCTCAGTAGCAGGTTATTTCTACTGAGATATAAGAGTCTAATGCTCTCATTCTATGTTTTCCTCAAACTTTGTTGAAATGGGATATTCCTACAACCTGGAGGAAAATCAGTAACAGAGTTGGAAGGAATCTTGGAGGTCATCTAGTCCAACCCCCTGCTCATTCAGGAGACCTATACTAGGGATTCGAACCACCGAACTGCCGACCTTTCTGATTGACAAGCTCAGCGTCTTAGCCAATCTTCTACCAGACTAGTTGTTAGTCCTTCTTTCCTTCCTTCCTTCCTTCCTTCCTTCCTTCCTTCCTTCCTTCCTTCCTCCCTCCCTCCCTCCCTCCCTCCCTCCCTCTTTCCTTCCTTCCTTCCTTCCTTCTTTCCTTCCATCCATCCATCCATTTCCACACCAACACAGATAGACAAAAGACCCAACCCCAAATTGCTTCTATACAAAATAGCTCTTTGATTTTCCCCAAATCTGTTCTTGTTTTAACAAAAAAAAACCAACCCTCTCCTATTTTGGGGAAATTATCTTACATTATTAAAGAATTTCCTGCTTATACATATTTCAGTAACTACTGGGCTATTTAGTTATTACAGACTGTGTAGCATCAATGCTCCACAGTGGAGTGACAGTTGCAATAAGGTGGTTAAAAAATGTTCCAATTACACCAGACTTCAGTCAACATGTCAAATTGCCCTGGTGCTGAGCTAAGTACAGCGTTACTTCAATCTCCTTCCCATACAAACAAGGCTGGCGTCTCTCAAAATCAACCATATAGAACAGCTCATAGCTTTTAAAAACAGATATCATTCACCATAAATCCTTTGGTGCCCACTAGGATAATTAGAACAGGAGTTAACTTCTAATGCTGCCCAGAAACGATTTGAAGGACTACATAACATCGTTAGCTATAATTCCCCAGACCAGCGAGGTTAGAAAAACACCCTTCCTTGTTGTGAATTAAAACAAAACAAATACATTTTTATAAGATGACTTCTAAATCAGCCTTCCCAGCTGGTGTTTTGTAGATGTGTTTCACTACAACAACGATCGCTTACCTGGGCTGATTTGGAAACAGGAGAGTTGTAATTCAGCACACAAAAGGAAACAATTCAATATGCAGGCATCATATTACTTTGTCCATTAAGACGATAGTCTTGAAGCGGTTGGTATTCAGATGTTCTAATTTCTACTGTATGTCATTTTTTGTTATTTTTATTAGCTTCACAAATTCACGATATCGAAATTCAGCAGATGTCTGTGTGACGAACTTCTTTCCCCCAAAGTTCAGTAAACCTTAAGCAATTCAGTTTTTTTTTGGCTTCAGAACAGTCAAGAAATGCTTTATTTTGAGGGTAATCAGAATAAATAGTGCTAAATATTAATACAAATTATCTGCTGGAATTAGGGCAGTGAAGAGTGTTTTGGCCTGTCTGGGGAAGTTTCATTGCCTATAGTTCAGTGATGGCTAACCTTTTTCTCATCATGTGCCAAAAGCGTGCATGCGTGCTGGCACCCATAATGCAATGTGCCCCCCTGCGCATGCGTGCATGACCCCCCCCATGCTCCCCCCACCCTCCTGTGCATGTGCACGTGACCCGCCCCCCGTTTTGGGCCTAGCAGGCCTCCCTGTAGCTTCCTGGGCCCAAAAACAGGCCGTGGGGCAGGTGTGCCACACATACTCCGCCCCCCTGTTTTGGGCCTAGCAGGCCTCCCTGCAGCCTGCTGGGCCAAAAAATGTGCCACGGGGAGAGCGCCCCCCCTGCCCCCCGTTTTGGGCTTAGCAGGCCTCCCTGCAGCCTCCTGGGTCCAAAAAGGGACATGGGGGGTGCGCCATGCCCCCACCAAACCCCGCACATGCATGCACGACCCCACCCCTATGCATGTGCATGTGACCTCCCCTGCACATGTGCTTGCATCTCCCACATGCGCCCTGCCCCCATGCATCTCGAAAATCAGCTGGCTGGCCGGAGGCGCGCATGTGCGGTGGAGCTGAGCTGGGCGATAGCTTGCGTTCCCTCAGAGAGGACTCTGTGTGCCAGCTGTGCCACATGTGTCATAGGTTCGCCATCACAGCTATAGTTCAAACCAAGCTCCGTTAATATTTCATACTTTAGGGGTTTTTTTTAGCGTTCAACTGGGTTAAACAAAATCTCCCAGCATTCCTCACCATTGACCATTGTGGAAAAGGCTGTTGTGAATTACAGTTTACGCAGGGGTGCCTGCAGATGTGATCAAAGCTCTCTCTGTGCATCACATATAAAACACAGAGAGCATTTCAGTTGCATATCACCAATTCGTCAACCGTTAAAAAGCCCTCTGTTGCTTCAGATTTGTCTTTAAAACAGAAGCTCATCTTTGCTACTGAAACATGTTCTCTCCATGATAGGAAACAATGCAATTAAAATGTTGCTGTCATTTCCTTCCGCAGCACCACATCCATCCCTGCCCTGCCTGTGGGATTATATACAGAGCTGATGAGCATAACCCGCCAGTATTACCAGCCAGACCTGAGCTTCCTATGCTGTTGAGCGGCCACTGGGTCAGCTCGCGCTGCGAAGTCCGCCCAGCTGTGCTTTTCCTTACCAGGTACTTCATCTTCCACGCCAACAACCGCAGCTGGGAAGGCTACTATCACCACTACTCTGACCCTCTCTGCAAGCAACCAACTTTCACCGTCTATGCTTTGGGTCATTACAATGAGGGAGCCCCCTCCCGCATCGTGAGAGGAGGCACCGAGCTGGTCTTCAAAGTGACCCATGCTCGGGTGACTCCTATGGATCAGGTCACCGTGTCCATGCTGAACTCCTCCGATTTTGGGAGCTGCGGAGAGGCTGGATCTTGGCACATTGGGCAGGAGCTAGATGTGACCCACACCAATGGGTGCGCAGCTCTAGGTATTAAGCTCCCCCACTCCGAGTATGAACTCTTTCGCCTTGAACGAGATGGAAAAGACCGGAGCCTGCTCTTTATTGGTGAGAGACCAACGGATGGGTCAAGTCCTAATACTCTCAATAAGAGGCCCACATCTTACCAGTCTCCTCTTCTCCAATGTGGTGGGCCCTCAGGAACTTTGGCAAGACATAGTTTGCCACACGATCCAGAAAGATTAAGTGCCCAAGTTAACCACGGAGCACCAAAGACTCCCTTATCTCTGCTGGTGTTTCTAGCTGCATTGATGGTCAACTGGGATTAAAAGCTTGCTCGTGGGAGCAGCGGAAAATGCAAGATAACCTTAGCCTTCAGGCTTTGTGTAGGCCATATCAAAAAAATAAGCACACTCAAGAGATGGGTTTTTTTTTTACAGGTTGCAAAAAAATGTATGTTTCTTTGACAGCTATGTTTTCTGCTGCCATGCTTGCTTACCTACAGACATGTAAATTGGTTTTCTTGATTTTTTGAAGAGGAAAATCATTCCCTTTTCATCGTGTGATGCAATACATACAACTGCCTGTTTCTGAAACAGTATTTCTCAATTTCAGATATTTGAAGATGCATTGACTTCAATTCTCACAATTGAATTAAGCTGGGTGGAGAATTCTGGAAGTTGAAATCCGCACATCTTCAAGTCCCTAAATTGAGAAACACTGTTCTGAAGGGCCCAAATAGATAAGAAAGGGTTTTTTTTTTTAAAAAAAAAATTCCTTCGAAGACATCCCATTGTTTAAATTTCTGTCGTGCATTGAAGAAATATTACTTTCCCTGATTTTTCTTCTTGACATTGCTTCGTCTTGATTTTATTGACACGCAGCCACCACTTTTTACGCTGCAAAAAGCTATCCCTGTTGAAATAATAAAGGATGAGAGAAATTCAATTCTAGGTGCCATAAGAAAGAACTGTGTGACATAATGCACACCTAAATGAAGAGCGTTAGTGAGGAGGCAGTTTGCGAGGGCGGATGGTCATCTCAGCAAGGAGAAAACGCCTTTCTTGGTAGACCAAATATGTAAGGATGATGATGTCCCATAATTGTTCTCTTGACCAATTGTAAGCAGCTTTAAATTATCTTTGGAATAAAAATTGCATGGCTTCAGTCCTCAGGGAGAATAAGCTAAAAAAACAAAACAAAAAACAGACTTGTCAGCAAGGTCACAATTTGTGGATGCCAATTTATTTATCTAAAAAGTTCTGTATTGTGCTTACAGTAGTTGCTTACAGTAGTGGCCAAAATTGTGGAAACCTTTTAGGAAAAGTGTATTTTTTAAAACTAGCTAATAGCACCACTTTTTTTTGGAGTAGTATCCTAAAATTATATATCAAAGGAAAGATAATTTAATCAAGAATCTGATGCAATAACTTTTATGAAGGATTTGCTATTAGAATAGCAGTTACAGTATAAAGAAGAAAAATGAAACATGTAGGAAAAACGAGATATGCAAAAATTATCACCATGTCAGTTAATACTTCGTTGGGTAACCTTTAGCATGAATTACGGCCTTAGAACATCTTCCCATGGAGTGAACCAAGTCTTTTAGTTCTGCAGCTGTTATAATGTGAAACCAAGATTGAAGGATTGCTTCTATTAACTGGGTTTTATTGCTGGGTTGCTTCTGACTAACAAGTTTCTTTAGTCAGCTCTATAGTTTTTCAATTGGGTTAATGTCTGGGCCAGGGATCTGCAACCTTAAACAATCAAAGAGCCATTTGGACCCGTTTCCCACAGAAAAGAAAACACCGGGAGCCACAAAACCCTTCCCGGGCCTGACTATTTCTTGAGCGGCCACAAAACTAGCATATGTAGTTGAATTAAACATTCTGTTTTCTTCTGAAACTTTTCTTTTCTTGGATTTATCCATGGTTGGCCTACCAGGGGTTGAAAAGCTCAATAAATTGCGTGCCGGTGGGTGTCGCACATTGGCAGTTGTGACCCATATTTTGAGTGACAGGGAGCCACAGAAGAGGGGTGAAAGAGCCACATGCGGCTCCAGAGCTGCAGGTTGCTGACCCCTGATCTGGGCTATTCCCAGGCCATTCCAGCAGTGGAATATGATTATCTTGAAACTCCCCCCCCAAAAAAGTGGTGTTATTAGCCATCAAACCTCAAAAATACATTTTTCCCAAAAGGTTTCCACAATTTTGGCCACTACTGTACAGTAAGGCTAAGCATAGTGCTTATGGAAGGGAAGATGGAACTCTCATGTCTAATCCTATCAACAATGACACAGTATCTGCAGAGGTTGAAAAAAAGCCAAGATGGTGGTCACGATCAAAGCCCTGTCCATTTTCCATGAGTATCAGCACTGCTGGCACATACAGGTAGTCCTCGACTTACAACGGTTCACTTAGTGACCATTCAAAGTTACAAGAAGACTGGAAAAAGTGACTCGCAACCAGTTTTCACTCTTACGATCATATGCAGCATTCCCCATGGTCACGTGATCGAAATTCAGATGCTTGGCAACTGACTCATATTTATGACGGTTGTAGGGTCCCAGGATCATGTGATCACCTTTTGTATCCTTCTGATAACCAAAGTCAATGGTGATGCCTGATTCACTTAACAACCATGTTACTAACTTAGCAACTGCAGTGAATCACTTAACGGTGGCAAGGAAGGTCGTAAAATGGGGCAAAATTCGCTTTACAAATGCCTCGCTTAATAACGGAAAAATTGGGCCGCATTGTGGTCGTACGACGAGGATTACCTGTACTCCTCCTCAGGGTTTGGGCTTCATTGAAATCCATCAGGTCCTGCTCACATGTGCTACGAACAGCACTTTAAAACCACAATTACTAGTGGGGCAAGTGGGACTTTGCTCAAGCATTTGGGTTGCATAAAGGATTTGGTCCCATGTTCTGCAGCAGTAATAATGTTTAAGAAAAGGGATTTTTTTTGGTAAACAGAAAAGAGAATGTTCCGGAGGCTTTGTCTCCAACTTCCTCAAATTGGTAGATTTCAGACATGATGACTACAGTGGCCATAATTCCCAGTCAACATGGCATAAAATGAGAGGCACTGGATTCTCACACTTTGATGAGGCTGTTTGGTGTCTTCTAGTGATTTCCCCTATCCATCCTAAAAAAAAAAAAATTGGCTCGTTTTAGCTTTCTCGGTTATCAACATCGTCTTGAGTTCTGTCAAAGAAGACAACAACGGTTGTCACACTGCTCAAAACTTTCTTCAGGCCTGTGGAAACCCAGTCTGAGTTAGCAGCTACTTCATTTTAAGCAATTAATATTTTCATTTTTTGCAATAAGAATAGGCTGCCATCCCAAAGCTTAGGAAAGAAGAAGTGATCCTATACAACCTAAATTAACTCAGGATGATGCATACGGGATCATACAATAAAAAGCTGCTGTAATTTTGTTTTTAAGCTCTGTGTATTAATAAGCTTTTTTTGATACGTCTTTTGCAAAACTGATATATTTTTTAATGAAAAGAACTATGCAACGACTGCAAATGATACAGTGTACTAAGAGGATTGTGATTAATATGTAAAAATGTTAAATGAGATTTTATAGAAACATCAGAGCCAAATTCATTTGCCACGGACAAAATGTAATGCTTTTCTTAATGCATAATTGTTACAATAAAGTGTATTTCAGCAGATTTAAAAACAAAACAAAACTCAAAGGAAAGTATTTAGATGTTCTGTACATAAAAACAATTGTTCATCTTCTTAAAAATGAGTCTTTTGTTCCTGGAACTGCCCGTTCTTTCCTTTTACTCATCAGCAATAGGACAGAGTATTAAATCTTTGCAATTTCTGACACTTACTGTTTGAGACTCTCAATTTTGTATGGGCCATTAAAGGTAAACGTTCCCCTTGCACATATGTGCTAGTCGTTCCCAACTCTAGGGGGCGGTGCTCATCTCCGTTTCAAAGTTGAAGAGCCAGTGTTGTCCGAAGATGTCTCCGTGGTCATGTGGCCGGCATGACTAAATGCTGTTTGACTAAATACCAAAGGCGCACGGAATGCTGTTACCTTCCCACCAAAGGTGGTCCCTATTTTTCTACTTGCATTTTTTATGTGCTTTCGAACTGCTAGGTCGGCAGAAGCTGGGACAAGTAACAGGAGCTCACCCTGTTATGTGGCACTAGGGATTCGAACCGCTGAACTGCCGACCTTTCAATCGACAAGCTCAGCATCTTAAGCCACTGAGCCACCGCGTCCCTTACTATGGGATATTACAAAACTCCAAATTTAAATCATAAGAAGGGTGGCTTCTTTGTAAAAGATAACATTCTGCGTATGAAGCTTCTACCTTTGATCTATTAAAAGGAGTTCCAGATATCAAGTTCCAGATACGAGGGAGGCAAAAATAGGCAGTGCTTAAATAGAATGGTCTTATAATTCGCAAGAAACGAACCTTTTTAAATTCGGGCTACATTTAGCTTTTGTGGAGGATCCCAGGGTTTATATTCCAATAAGCAGTTGGAAACAACATAGCCATTCAGGAAAACAAATTATATAATGTAGCTAAAATGTTAAACATGATTAATGTATGGCACTCTGTCTTTGTTAAAATTCCCTTCTGTTACATTAAAATTTCCATTTGGTGGTAATTGGGTGGGGGGTGGGGGCTAGTCTGAAGGCCACTTGTAGCTTAGGGGAGGGTCTTCCAATTGCTTTTCCACTTAATAGATCTCAGCATTTCACTGATTTTTTTTTAAAAGTTGTTGCTGGTTTTTTTTTAAACAAATATTGTATGCTGTGAGGAGCTATTAACTGCAAATGGTCTCCAGACTCTTTCAGTAATTTAAGTGCAATATAGATGTGACTATAGGGCTAGTAGTTTAAATTACTTTGGATTTAGAATTAAAAATAAATTAACCTGTGGAAGAGTCAGTCTTGGGAATAAGAATTGTACTGCTGATGTAACAGGAGCAAAGATTCTGCCAGCCCTTTGTCAAAGAATTGGAGTAAAAATGGAAAAAAAATGAAGTGAAAATTTCAGAGACTGGGTTCTCTAAATATGAACTGCTGGTTCATATTTGTGACCGTTGCTGGGTCCAAAAAGGTCATGTGATCACCTTTTGCAAAGTTCGCTTAACAACCGTGTTGCTAACTTATCAACTGTAGGAATGTATTTAGCAACTGGCAGCAAAGAGAGTAAAATAGAGCAAAACTCACTTATCAAATGTCTCACTTAACAACAGAAATTTTGGGCTCAGTTGTGGTCATAAGATAAGGACTATCTGTAGTGAGTCACAAGACAGCCGATACCAACAAGTTCTAGCTTGTGTGTTGAGCACCAAACAAACAATGAGTACTGAGACAAAATTTTCGTGTCAAAATGTGCTAAGTGCCAAATTCGATGAGTTTAAAAGCAGCTGAATACCAAGATAACTCTGTGCTAGATTGTGCTAAACCAAGATACACAGTGTCTAGAATAGAATAGAATAGAATAGAATAGAATAGAATAGAATAGAATAGAATAGAATAGAATAGAATAGAATTCTTTATTGGCCAAGTGTGATCGGACACACAAGGAATTTGTCTTTGGTGCATACGCTCTCAGTATGCATCAAGACAAATTCCTTGTGTGTCCAATCACAGTCTAAGGCTAGGTATGTATGTTAAGCCAGCTCTACTTGGCCTAAGCAAGGGAACCTTGTCTAACTTTCTACTATATACACTGGGCCCTCCACTTATTATTTCTACAGCCACCACTTTGCGAACAGGCGTGACAGAATAACAATAACAGATGGGACCTTAGAGGTCTTCTAGTCTAACCCCCTGCTCAGGCAGGAAACCCTATACCATTTCAGAATGCCTGGCTCAAAGCCACCCAGGTTTTTCAGCTCCAGTACTGAGGCAATTAATCCTTAGGCTTAGAGGTGAATTCAGAAATTTTGCAATTATGCGCCTCAAAGGAAGGAGGAAGTACAAGGTAGATCAAGTTTTACTGGTAAATTCCGCACAAGTTATCAATAGCAAGAATACCAGTCCTTACCCCCCACCTGGCTAATTTTAGTTAATCCATACTGAAAACATATGTTCTCTTCTTTAAATACCATGCACATCATTCTAGTTGTAAGAATGTGTCTACTGAAAAAGTCAACAGGCTTTTACTCTTGCCCTACCCACCACAACTTGTCTTTTTAATTTTGAAAGTGGGAGTGTGCAATGTGCAAATAATTCTTCAAGTTTTGCAGTCCCTTGGAAATATCATGATCAAGTTCTGACAGTAAACAAATTAGGAGAATGAAGTGGCTGAAAAAACCTACCAAAATAACTTAAGCAAATGCCCTGATTGCACATTCCTATTTTAAATGAATCCAGTGGTAGTATTTTGGTATTAATCTGCCTACTCAAGTTCCTCAAAAGATTTGAATGCTTAAACAAGTGAGAATTTGCAACAACGCAACCAGTTGGGATAGAAACGTGAAGGACATTCATCTACCTTGCCAAATAACTCACAAATGAAGCCTTTCTCATGTAAGATTTGGATGGCCTTGCTTTGTCACAAACATGACATAAATAGAAAAGAGTGTCATCTGATAAACTGCTGATTGGGGGGAAAAAAAACGAGGCATTAAGATTGTGGATACAAAACTCTCGTCTATCCTAGGACAAAGTAGTGTAGTCTGCTTGGAGACAAATATGAGTGTGGCTTCCCTTTCTCAATATATTTATACACCATAGCCTGTTTGTTGTGATAGTTCAGATGGTTGCCTGTCAACATTTGCCATAAACAAGCGCATGAGTCATGAGGAGCATTATTTAGAATCATGACTGCATACACCTTTTCTGTAACCCTGCCCAAGAAATCAACATCATGAATGATTTGCTGGCTGAATCACTTGTTTGTAAAGTTGAGAACATTATTCTCATGGATCTTTGTTCCATCCAAAACCATAAATTACACGAATGCATAGTACTTAAGTGCTGGTTAAATTCTTGCATAATTTATTGTGGGGGTCCATGCTCATACTATTCTAAAAAAACCACACTCACTAATTATAATCTACACAGGCCTTCTGCATTCGGGCAGGATGGGACTGGATTATTTTTATTTTAAATATGTTAAAATTCAAGTCCAAAGTAGGGGGGGAAATCCTTTAAAATGGTCATAAAACAAATATGCCATATTCTACTTCATATTAAAGGCCACGACACCTGTTGCTACTGATCAGTAGCAACTACTACCTGTCAGACCTGGAAGTCATCTTTTGCCTTGGAGTTTCAGGCCTGCCACATTTCCTACTGTGGGAAACTGGGAGGGGGGATTGTATGGAGCAAGGGCGATATATAGCCATAACAACATTCTTTCTCAGGGAGTCAAGGACATCTTGCCCTGCACCTGGAGGGTTGGAACTGGGAGGCATCTCCAGTTGGGATGGTGCTTTGATTGGGCCATGTGATGGACATGTGGGTGCAGGGGGGAGGGACTTGGACTTTCTTTTGGGTGAGGAAAACATCTGGGTTTTCCCAGATGTGCCAATATGACATCTCTAATAAAATGGAACTTTGAGGAAACTCAAGCCTCGGAGTCTTCTTTCATTGGGGTTGTTACTTGGAACCCTGACATTACCTGTATCCACATGGTTTTCCTTTAAAGCAGATCTCCCTAACCTTCCCTAATCTGGAAATATGGGCTTCAACTCTCAAATTTCCCATAGAGGGTAAGCTGTTGCTGAGAATTCTGGGAGTGAAATCTAGATCATTGAATGGTGTTCAGTATGCTTTTAAGAATACCACACTTTTTCTTGTTAGTTTGTTGCATGACCTCATTACTAGTGTGATGGGATAAAGCCGTAGATATCTTAAGCAAGAACATGGGGGTTTGGCTTAGTGTGTTGTGTAAAGCCTGTCAATTATGGGTTTCTTCAGGAAAGTATGATTACAACACATGGTTTAGCTATGAATCTTATTGCCATTCCATGTGATGATGGCTGCAAATGTAGACAATTTGAAAAGAAAACTAGGTACATTTTCAGAAGAAAAATATGTCATGGAATGATTTACTATCCCTTGAATCTTGTCAGAATTAGTTTGGTGTAGTGGTTAAGGCAGAACCTGGGAAATCATAGGTTCTAGAGCTGCCTTAGGCACAGTGCCAGCTGGGTGATCTCGGGACAGCTCTCTCAGCCCTACGAAGGAGGCAATGGCAAAGTTCTGAAAATCTTGTGAAGAAAACTTCAAGGGCTTATCCATCCAATTACCAAGTGTCAAAACTGACTCAAAGGCAAACCGCCTCCCCAAATCACAAACGGCCTGATTTTAAGTACCAGTTGCTGGGGAGCAATAATGAAAGATGACTATCACTCTCTAAGTTCTGCTTGTGAATTTACTAAAGGCAGCAGGTTGGAATTTCTATAAACACAATGCAGGACCTTCTTAAACCATTCATGATTTAATATAATGTGTGAGAAGGGCCTCCCACTGTGCATCTGCAATTTTTAAGTCACCATTGAGCAGCTCACATGCTAAACCCCCAGGAGATGAAGCTCCAAGACTGCAGATTTCAAACATCAACCTTGTAATTAAAAAGTTGCAAATGTCCCTGTGAACAAATCAATGGCTAAGGGAATATTCTTTGAGAACTTCAGCCATTAATTTGTTCTGTATAAATGAGAACGATGGAAGGAATCCCATCTTTAAAGGTTAATACTTTTTAAGTACAACTGACCTTTTAAGTTCTAACTACCTCAACAGAATATTATTTTTCACATTTACTGGACACTACAGAGAATATTTAAAGAAGAATTGGCTGCCAACTTCATTATGTTGGAAATTTAAAAAGGGTGAAAGACATTTATATAAT